AGGATTGCCCTTGTTTGTCGCCTTCACAGAAGCATCATTCACCGAACCATCGCCCCTCGGCGGATCTAATACCAGCCTCGGCCGCTCCGTCCGCTCCGTCTCACGCGACGGACCACCTCTCGACCAACGATCCGGTTCCACGCCCGAATCACGAAAACCTGAACCAAAATTGGAAGATCTAACAGGAGCAGCCTTCTTACCAACCGCCCAATTATCCACACCATCAGCCCTAGACGCACCACCAAAACCACCGCCACCGCCGCCACCAAAACCACCACCTCCACCACTAAAACCGCCGCCGCCGCCGCCGCCTCCCCCATAGCGATTCTGACGACCAGAATCAAACGCGGGGACAGATTTCTTCACGGAGGCCCAATTGTCCACCTCATCAGCCCTGGAAGGCTGATCGAGTTCCGAAACCCTAGGATTCGGACCCCTGCGTTCCTCGTCGAATCCGCCATAGGATCTTCTCCCGCCACCGCCCCAGGAGCCTTCGTTGTTTCCGCCGTCGCGGTCGCGAGAGCGACCGGCGGAGCGGTCGTATGAGGAGAAACCGCCGCCGAGGCGGTTGAACTGCATTTCCTCGGGGGACCGTTCCTTGGGACCGGTGGGAAGCGCCAACATCTCGTCGCGTGTGAGGCCCTGGTGCTCGCCGGCGGAGGGAAAGCCGCCCTGGTTGAACTGAGAGAGCGGGATGGTTGTACCCTTCTTCTTTTTGGGCTTGGAGCTGACGGCCTCCTTGAGGCTGGGGAAGTTTTGGGTCTCGGCGGCCGCGGCCGCAGCCTGGGCCTCGCGCTCCTCGGCCTCGGCCCGCTCGGAATCGGCGGCCCATGCTCCGATGTTGCCCCAGGGTTTGGACATTTTGAGATCTCGAGAAAGAGAGAATGGAGTTGTGGATAGGTTTGTGGTTGGGTTTGAACTGAAGCCGGGGCTCCGCTAGTGGAGCCGGAGCTCCGATAACATGCAAAGAAGAGGAAGCGGAAGAGGATTAGGAGAGCGTCGAATGCGTTGATGGGGAGTGAGAAGGATGATGGAGGCCAACATTAGCGTGCGTTTGTGTTTGTTTGGTTTGGGAGCGTGTGCGCGTGCCTTTGGGATTTCGTCACGCGCGGATCAGGGGTTCATGCTTTCCTTCCAATTGGGAAAGTACCATTGGGCATTTTTCATGGCCTAGAGCAATGCGTCGTCGTGTTACCCACCTTCTTTTTCGTTACTCTTTATTTTTGGCCATTTTTCAGTCCACCTATTTTACTATTTTTAATTTTAAATCAATACGCACATGCCTCATATTTCTCAATATTATTATATCTTCAATTTAAATCAAATACAATATACTCTTAATTTATACAGAATATCTGATAATTTTTATAATATTCATATATTAATTTAGATAGATCAATTTTAGAAATTGCACTTCATTTTAATTTTTTTTACTTTCTTTCTCGTGATACTCGTCTATCTTACTTGTTAAGATTTGATCACTTTTTCATTAGACAATTTTATCTTTAGAGTAAAATTTTACCTAACTTTTTATTTAGATGAAAGAATTATAGAGATAATATTTTTTCACAACCAAATGAATAATATTACTCTTTTTATCATATGCTTTCATTTTAAATTACTTTTTCACATCTCATTTTGCAGAGATGTAATAAGCGGTTTCTTTTTTTTCATTTAAAATGGTATCAACCTTTTAAATTTCAAAAGGTATCAATCTTTTGAAAGATAAGATTCGTATTCAGATAAATAATATTTATTTTAAAATAACATAAATTGTTTTTATTAATAAGGAGATTAAGAAACGTAACATCCCAATAATTATATATATAACTATATAATATCGAATGATAAACATTATGACATAACAGAATAGTTTAAGGATGTAAATATACTTTTAAGTTTTTCGGTATAGTTATAAGTTTATCGGTCATCCAAAATTGACCATAAATTTAAAATTTTACTATTTCAAAATAGAGAAGACTGTAAAAAGAATCCTAAGACTAGGTAGCTGCATCATCTTCTTCCAAAATTTATTTCAGAAACACTTTTTTCCAAAATTTGCTCCAAAAGCATCTTTTCTACCTCTGTTCACATCTAAGTAGATGATCATTGTGAAAGGAAGAACACAGACATACAAGACACAAACAAACCGCAGAAAAACAAGGGTAAGCTAGGTTGAAAAACATGCATGATATCTAATAATATTAAGTATAACAGCACATTCATAAGCAAGTAAACAAGCAAGTATCATATCATATTATAAAACATACTAGACTCGTCCGACTTAGAATGAATATCGATCTAGGACGGGTTGTGCACTTGTGGTGGCTTCTACTGTTTTGCAAAGCTATTGCTGAGGGGTTTCACTCGACCACACACTAAGTTAGTCTATTACCGCGTAATAGGCCCTCCAAGAAGCGCTTACACTAGGACCTTCCACTACTCTCACCACATGCGTCAATCCTCTCTAAGTGAGAATGAACGACCATTAGAGTGTTGGGAGAACCCCCCCGTATGGAAGCCTCTTACATTCATTCTAACACTAAATGATCTCACCTAGAGATCTTACTTGATACTATTCACATCACTTTGATCAGTTCATAATTCTCGTTGATTCATCAAACACACCATTATTACAGTTATCTAAGTATATTCATACTGTATTAGCTCATACCAAACCCATATATCATCGACCAAACAAAACAGAAGAAGAAAGGAATCAAAATAGGAAGAAACAAACAATAACAAACCTAGAAGAAACACTAAGCAACACAAAACCCCATAAACTCATACTTAAATAAGGAAAATGACTCTTAAACTGTCACCAACAGCTCCAGAAAGGTCCAAAATGACCTATAGAACTTCCAAAAATGATACCTGGAACCCCGAAAACCACCCAAAACTGTCATGGATTATTTTTCGACGACAATAATCGATTATTATATGTAATAATCAATTATGTACTAGAATTTTGAAGAAAATATGACGTTCTGACTATATGACGAAATAAACTTGTATAACTGATTCTAATACTTCATAATCTTATTATCTAGTGATTTAATGTTGATTTAAACTCTAAACCCTCAATTTCATCAACCTAGGTACTCAATTCTGAATCTACCACTTATAAATTATTTTTAACACTTTTAACACTCTCCTAATGAGTCACAATTAACTTACCCAAGTTATCTAAACTGATCCTAACAGCCTGGAATACAAAATTCAGATTTTGACTACCTTAGTTCTCTTCATAGGTTATAAACTTAAATGATTCACGTGGTTATTTCCTAATAAATTATTTAACAGAATTCATTTCTTCTAAGCATTCAAAATTATCACAACATTGTATCAATACTAGTTCCTAATCATCCAATTCACAGTTCATATCAACATCAACCAGTAGTACACGATCAAATAGGCAAAATCACAAGTTTTCAGATTATCCTTAATTAAAATCCAACCCATAAACTTTACATGAACTCTATCACTATATCTACTAAATCTAACTCATGCAAATTCAAGAATTTCACAAAACAGCACAAAAACACCAGCTTCCCTTACCTCTCAGTCGAACAGCTCAAGACACAGGAGGCTCCAATTGCTCACTTGCACCTCAATGAAAAACTAATTTTACCTATTGATCACAAATTGGAAACGGAAGACAACTTTCAAAACCTAATTGGAGCTAGAATTTGGGGAAAAAAATACACCATGGCTACATGCAACCATATTTGTTGCATGATCACCCCGCTTTAAGGTGAACAAAAGAAAGGGTATTTCACTTACCGGTTCTGATTGGAGAAATTGATCGACTAAGAGCAAGACCCGCTACTTTGTGATCGTTGGGACAGCACCTAATCGAGAATTTAATGGTTCAGTGTGAAGAATGGAAAGGGAGAAGATATAGGAAGAGGAAAGAGCTTGCAGGGAAATAAATGGTTTCTCAGACAAGAGGAATGAGTTAAAAAATCAGCGTTTCAAAACTAATGCAATTTTATTTTAAAATACTCAACCTCTCATCTGTTGCAATCTGTCATCCCTTTTTGCTGACTCATATCCAAGTCCTTACAAGAAATATAAGTAATTTTTTTATTTATATATTTGATATCTATTACTAGCATTTAAGTAAAGAATCAAAAGTTTTTTTTTTTTGAGAAAAACTAACATTTATATGTAGAAGAAAAAGAAATAAAACATGGTTATTGAGCATCATTCTCTCGAGTAATGGAAAACGATACACGAAACATGATATCATATCATACTTGATGAAGATTTTTTTTCTCTCTATATATTACAAACAAAACAATAATAAAGAGAGTGAAGAATATTTAAATATCATTATATCATTTATGACTATAACAAAAAAAAGTAAAATTTTGTTATTCTACGTCAGTTAATAAATATAAAAAATATAATAAATAAGTACTTTTAACTATATTTGTTTATTTTTTACAAATTTATTATTATTATTATTATTATTATTATGTAGTGTATATATATTTTCACTATAAATGAATAAAAAATATTTTACGAATATATAATATTTTTATGTTATATTTATTTTTAATAATTGTATTTACTTTCTTATGTCTCTTTGTATTAAGAGATAATTACGTCATTCAAAAATATCTTGTTTATGTCTTTTACTATTTTCTTTTTCTTTTTTATTTCTGCTAAACGATTAAACCATCATATCACTTTCTTTGTTCATATTATTCTCAATTTCATTCCTCTTATGAAGCAATAAATATATGTTAACTCAGACTATTCTTCTTAAGGGTAACAATAAGAAGATTTTCTTAGATATTTATTTTTTAGTAAAATATGTTCATATATTCTCTCCCTCCCAGTGTATTATGTAAGGACTTAAAAAATTAATAGTTTAAGAGTATTGGTGATTTTGATTTTGATTATTTTATTCTAAAAAGTTTAATTATAGATGTATTTTTATTATCAAATCTTATGTTACAAAAATTATCGTTTTTATAAATAAATGTACTACCCCGACTGAGCGTCTCTTGGTTTATCCCTTTATGCAGAACTTAAGTATCGCCTATCGTCTTCGAGGTAACAATTAATAAATCATTTTTGGCGTCACTGGTATGCTAGGCATTCGATTTGAATTTCTACAAAAAGAAAGTATTATTTACTTCTGTAACTGGAGTTGTATGGCCATTCAGATTTCATATTGTTGAATATCATCACGATAAGTTCTTATATTGTTTCAGTCATATTATCATTTTAAACTTATAAGAAAATAACTGGGTAAAAATATTTAAAGTACACAATTGAGGATATATGCCAACCATTTTTAGGATTTATTCTATCCTGACTTGACTTCTGACCCAACCGAGTCCTAATTTTAGTTTTGCTGTATACATTTCCTAAACCAATCTATTTCTCCTGTTTTTGCTGGTTTTCACTTGTTTTTTGAATGCAAGCGTGGTTTGACTCTTTAACTCTATCTGTATGGTCTTTTCAAAAGAACAATACTTTTATAAATTACTTTTATGTGAGGAACTTCAAAATAAAACAAGATATGAAAAGTGTCAATGGGGGTTTCATCACTAACACCGCCATCTGACTGCTGCTATTTTAAATATTGAGCTTTATAACCTTTACATGATATCATAACCATAAATAACAGAGATTAAATGATTAAGATTTAAATATGATTTTTGTATACTTTCTTTAATGTGTTTGGGTAGGTTGGATTTCCACATTTTGTTGTGTATATGTAAAATCTTGCATCTTTACCAGTTATGGTTTACCAAGTTAATACTGATGCAGAACTCAAACCTGGTGAACCTGTTCTGGACTGGCCTACTAGAAAACGAGTGGCCCTGGGAACAGCTCGAGGCTTAGAATATCTTCATGAGCATTGCAATCCTAAGATTATTCATCGGGATGTGAAGGCAGCTAATGTATTACTAGATGAAGATTTTGAAGCTGTTGTTGGTGATTTTGGCTTGGCAAAGTTAGTCGATGTTCAGAAAACCAACGTGACAACTGAAATTCGTGGGACGATGGGCCACATAGCTCCAGAATATTTGTCCACTGGAAAATCTTCGGGAAGGACTGATGTTTTTGGTTATGGGATTATGCTCTTGGAGCTCGTTACAGGTCAACGAGCAATTGAATTTTCACGATTAGAAGAGGAAGATGACGTGCTGCTACTTGACCATGTAAGATCACTTTCTAACATCNCATCTGACTGCTGCTATTTTAAATATTGAGCTTTATAACCTTTACATGATATCATAACCATAAATAACAGAGATTAAATGATTAAGATTTAAATATGATTTTTGTATACTTTCTTTAATGTGTTTGGGTAGGTTGGATTTCCACATTTTGTTGTGTATATGTAAAATCTGGCATCTTTACCAGTGATGGTTTACCAAGTGAATACTGATGCAGAACTCAAACCTGGTGAACCTGTTCTGGACTGGCCTACTAGAAAACGAGTGGCCCTGGGAACAGCTCGAGGCTTAGAATATCTTCATGAGCATTGCAATCCTAAGATTATTCATCGGGATGTGAAGGCAGCTAATGTATTACTAGATGAAGATTTTGAAGCTGTTGTTGGTGATTTTGGCTTGGCAAAGTTAGTCGATGTTCAGAAAACCAACGTGACAACTGAAATTCGTGGGACGATGGGCCACATAGCTCCAGAATATTTGTCCACTGGAAAATCTTCGGGAAGGACTGATGTTTTTGGTTATGGGATTATGCTCTTGGAGCTCGTTACAGGTCAACGAGCAATTGAATTTTCACGATTAGAAGAGGAAGATGACGTGCTGCTACTTGACCATGTAAGATCACTTTCTAACATCATGGCCTCCTTATTTGTTGTCTTTTTGGTTTCTTTCTTGTTTGTGTTTAGCACGCTTTATATCTTTTGTGTGACTCTTGGATGATTTCGTGAGTGGTTGTGTTCAAGAATCAGCCGGTCATAGTTGCTCTACCTAAAGAGTATATCATTACCCCTCTTGACATGAGTAATGCTGTAGTGAGCCAAGGAAGTTCGTGTAGCTATAATAGTACATAGGCATTTTGATTTAGGTTGGAATAAGCTGGTGTGCGTTATTTATATGATAATGTTGATGAAGAAAAGCTGAACTGCGGTGTTTGTTTAGCGTTCTGCCGTAGCGAACATGTTGCTTGTGGTCATCATTATTCAAAAACCAAAATGCACCATTAATGCTTTTCACTCGTTGGTTATCTGATTACTGTGTTTACTGCATTTTTGTTTTCTACAGGTTAAGAAATTAGAACGGGAGAAAAGACTAGACGCCATTGTTGATCGCAACCTAAATAAAAATTAGGTTTAAACCCTTCATTGGTCCTTATTTTTGTATGAAAATCTCAGTTCGGTCCTCATTTTTTCATTTATCTCAATTGGATCATATTTTTTTTTAAAAATGAACACATTTTACTCTAACCGTTTACTGGTCTCAGACGACGTTAAGGCCACATAGTGCAGATAGAATGTGCTGACGTGTGTATGTGCATAGAGTGTTTTGATTGTCCATTTGTGTATAGAGTGTTTTTGATTGTCCATTTGTTCAGAGAGTGTTTTTGATTGTAATCATTAGATATATAATTTTATTACTTTGAAAAGTTAAAAATATAATATATATGTTGAATTTATTTAAATTTAAAAATAAAATAATTTTAAAAAAAATATTAAAATAAGTTATCTTTTATAAGTCTAAAAATTATTTATATTTGGATAGAATTGTAAAAATACATAATTTTTTAATTTTCTTTGTGTTTAAATGTTTTTATGAATTTATTTTGACAAAAATTTAAAAAATTATATATAAGACTTATTTTTAGTTATGAAATCTAAAATATAATAAACATATTTTAGTTTAAAAAGAAATGTTTTCTCTCAAATAGTCATCTAAAAAAATATTAAATAAGTTATTATTTTTATATAATAATTTGATATAATATAAACAATTTTGTATATTAATATTCAATTAAAATACACATAATTTTATAAAATTTTAAAATTAGAAAACTAAATTTAAAATAATTTAGTTCAAAATAATGACTAGTGAATATGATTAAATTGGATTATTAATTAAATTAATATATTATCTTAATATATTTTTTTAATATTATTAAAATAAAATAATCAATATATAAAAAAATCATAAATTAATTGTAATAGATAGGATTTTAAGACTTTATAAATATTTAATCATATAAACTTTTTAATAAAATTACTTTTACTTATATTAAATTTTTTTATCCCAACATGTATGATTTAGGATTAAGTTATATAAAATGAAATAATTTAACAATATTATATTAAAAATACTAAAATAAATCTTTAATATATAAGATGTGATGTTTTGTCTTAGGATAAAATAATATTATTATAGTCAATTATGGTATTTTATATATTTTTTATTTATATAAATTTATTTTTAAAGAAAAACTCAGAAAATTAAAAAGAAAATATATACTTAAAAAGTTTGCTTAATCAATTGATGTACAATAGTTAATTATTTATCTATATTATTTTTGTATGAATTTCATTAAAAAATATATATTATTTTTAAATTTAAATAAATTCAACACATATATTATATTTTTAACTTTTCAAAGTAATAAAATTATATATCTAATGATTATAATCAAAACACTTTCTGCACAAATGCACAATCAAAACACTCTTTGCACAAACACATAAGCACAT